ACCCACTAGAGCCTCCGCCTGCCGGTCTACGGTCTCCGCAAGGCGCCACGTGAGTGGCACGACACACTGAGGACTACTCTTGCAGCACATGGGTTCTCTCCTTCTACTGCTGACCAGTCGCTGTTTCTACGCACCGACACGTCGCTGCCGCCGTTCTACATCCTCGTGTACGTCGACGACTTGGTCTTTGCCACAGCTCACAATGAGTCTCTCGCCCACGTGAAGTCCGAGCTGCAGAAGAGACACACGTGCACAGACCTGGGTGAACTGCGTAGCTACCTTGGCTTTCAGATCACGCGAGACAGAGCACGCTGCACCATTACTCTGACTCAGTCACACATGGTGCAGCAGGTCCTTCAGCGCTTCGGCTTCACCTGGTCCTCAGCACAGGCCACTCCTGTGGCTGGTCGTTGACGACTACTCGCGTTATACCACAGTCTTCCCCTTGCACAGCAAGGGTGACGTCACTGAGGTGTTGATCGACTGGATCCGCACAGCTCATCTCCAGCTCGGAGAGAGTTTCGGCTCGGACTTTCCTGTTCTGTGTCTGCACTCGGACAGAGGCGGAGAGTTTTCCTCTGCCCATCTGGGAGCCTTTTGTCAGGCACAGGGTATCCGCCAGACCTTCACGCTTCCGGCCTCTCCACAGCAAAATGGGATTGCTGAGCGCCGCACTGGCATGGTCATGGACGTCGCGCTTACGTCCAAAATGCATGCGGCTGCCCCCCATTTTCTATGGCCGTTTGCGGTTCAGTACGCCGTGCATCAGCTCAACCTTCAGCCCCGAGTCTCCTTGCCAGAAACCTCCCCCGCCTTGTGGTGGACAGGGAAGGTTGGCGATGCGTCTGCGTTTCGGGTCTGGGGATCTCGGACGTTTGTCCGCGACTTGTCTGCGGACAAGCTGTCCCCCCAAGCTGTTCCTTGCGTCTTCCTTGGCTTCCCCCCTGACGCGCCTGGCTGGCAGTTTTACCACCCCACCATGCGTCGTGTTTTGTCCTCCCAGGACGTCACCTTTGACGAGTCGATGCCTTACTACCGTCTCTTCCCCTACCGCACTGCGCCCCTCCCCCCGCCGCCACTCTTCCTTGCACCAGGTGCTACCCGGGTAGATCCCCTCCCTCCTCAGGGTCCTACCCCTTCAGGTGGGTCCGAGGCAGACGCAGTTGAGCCTGTCGAGGTAGATGTTGACTCTGGTGCTGCTAGAGGTGCTGAGCCTGCGGGTGCCGGGTCTGCGGGTGCCGGGTCAGGGGGTGCTGAGTCTGGGGGTGCTGAGACTGGGGGTGCTCAGCCTGGGAGTGCTGAGTCTGGGGGTGCTGAGCCTCGGGGTGCTGAGCCTGGGGGTGCGGAGCCTGGGGGTGCTAGGTCTGCTCGTGTGGCTGCCGACGGTGCTTCGTCGAGGCGGGAGCTGCTCTCTCCACAGGAGCTGCGCGACTGGTTCGCCCGCCGCTGAAGACGTGCTGCTGGGTCTGGGGGTGCTGCTGGAGCTGCTGTCGGTGCTGGTGCTGCTGGAGGTGGAGCTGCTGGGGGTGTTGGCGCTGGTGTTTCTACTAGTGCTGGTGCGTCTAGGGGTGTTGCTGAGGCAGCTGGTCATGACGTTCCTACTGGAGTTGGTGCTGCTGGAGCTGGAGCTACTGGGGGTGTTGGCGCTGGAGGTGCTGCTGGCGCTGGTGCTTCTGAGGGTGCTGGAGTTGGCGCTGTTGGAGCAGGAGGTTTTGCTGGCGCTGGTGCTGCCGCTGGGGGTACTGGTGCCGTCCTTGCTGGTTCTGGAGGCGCTGAGCGGCCGAGGACGTACTTCGTTCCGCTCCTGGAGCAGGTTCTTGGTCTCCCTCCCTCTCTTGGTCTTGCTCCTCCCTTAGAGTGTCCGCAGCCTGTCCAGTCGCAGTCACAGTTACAGCCCGCCTCCCCGCTACCTGCTCCTTCTCCCTACACTGGTCCTACTGGAGGTCTTGCTGAGCGTCGTGAGCCTGCGTCTCGTCCTGCGTCTCCTGTTCGTGCGGCTTGCACTAGTCGTCGTGCTCCACGTCCGCGTCCTCTTGCGGTCCCCGGCACACACCAGATGGCACTGCGTATGTCCACTGCTCCTCTGCGTGTCCCGTTGCCGTCTCCTCCAGAGTCCTCTTTTCCTTCTCTTGCTGACCCAGGGTCTAACTCCCTTCCTGCTGCTAGTCCTTCGGTCACGCGCCTTCTTGCTACTGTTTTCACTGACCCTTCCTTTGAGTCCACTGCTGCGTCTGCTCTAGTTGCTGAGCTTGTCGACTTCGCTGCTCGCTGTCGTCTAAACTACGCTGCCACTCTTATTGCTGAGTCTGAGTCTGTCTGTCCTCCGTCCTTTGAGGGTGAGTGTGCTCTCAGCATGGACGTCCTTGAGGACAGGCAGGAGGAGTTCCAGTGCTTTGCTGCTGCTTTGCCTCATCACGTGTCCACGCTGATTGCTCCTGAGGGAGACCCGGATGCACCACACATCCCGACTCCTCGATCGTACGCTGAGGCGATCGAGGGTCCCTACTCCTCTCAGTGGTAGTCAGCCATGGACGCAGTGATGGCTTCGTGGAAGTCCACAAGCACCTACGTCGACGAGGTTCCCCCACCTAGGGCGAACATCATCAGTGGGATGTGGATCTTCAGGGTGAAGCGGCCGCCGAGCTCTCCGCCTGTCTTCTAGGCGCGTTACGTGGCTCGAGGATTCAGTCAGCGGCAGGGAGTTGACTACTTTAAGACCTTCTCTCCCACCCCGAAGATGACCACTCTTCGGGTGCTGCTGCACATAGCCGCTCAGCGCGACTACGAGCTTCACTCTCTTGACTTCAGCACAGCTTTCCTGCAGGGCAGCCTGCACGAGGAGATCTGGCTGCGCCGCCCACCTGGCTTCACTGGGTCGTTTCCTCCTGGTACCGAGTGGAGCCTCCGGCGGCCAGTCTACGGTCTCCGCCAGGCGCCCCGTGAGTGGCACGACACACTGAGGACTACACTTAGGGCTCTTGGGTTTGCTCCTTCTACACCCGACCCGTCGCTGTTTCTGCGCACCGACACCTCTTTGCCGCCGTTCCACATCCTTGTGTACGTCGATGACTTGGTCTTTGCCACTGCTCACACTGCTGGACTCGCCCACGTGAAGTCTGAGCTGCAGAAGAGACACACGTGTACAGACCTGGGTGAACTGCGCAGCTACCTTGGCTTGCAGATCACCCGAGACAGAGCACAGCGCACCATTACCCTGACTCAGTCACACATGGTGCAGCAGGTCCTTCAGCGTTTCGACTTCACGTACTCCTCGCCTCAGGCCACTCCTCTGTCTACTCGCCACTCGCTCTCAGCTCTGCCTTCGGATGAGTCCGTAGAGTCGAGTGGCCCGTATCCAGAGCTTGTTGGCTGCCTCATGTACCTGATGATCTGCACACGACCTGATCTTGCATACCCTCTTAGCATCTTGGCACGCTTTGTTGCTCCTGGGAGACATAGACCAGAGCACACGGCTGCAGCGAAGAGGGTTTTGTGCTATGTGTGCAGTACGTCAGGCATGGGGCTAGTGCTTGGAGGGCGACGTCGAGTAGTCCTCATAGGTCACGCTGACGCTTCTGGGGCTGACGACAAGGCTACACAGCGGTCATCACAGGGTTACACCTTCAGCCTTGGCTCCGACTCTATTTCGTGGCGGTCTACCCTCTTGTCCTCTGTTCTCGGCTCCAGCTGTGAGGCTGAGATCTACGCGGGGGCCATGGCTGCTCAGGAGCTACGTTGGCTCACCTACCTGCTGCTTGACCTAGGAGAGCCGCCTCGTTCTCCTCCAGTTCTATACGTAGACAACAAGGCCATTCTGGCCTTGTGTCGGGAGCACAGACTCGAGCATAGAACGAAGCACATTGCTCTCCGCTACTTCCTGTCTCGTGAGCTGCAGCAGCGTGGTCAGCTCGGCCTCAACTACGTGGCCTATGAGGCCAACACTGCTGATATCTTCACCAAGGCCCTTCCGCCTTGTGATCATCAGCGCTTCTGTACTTTGCTAGGTCTTGTGCCTACCTGGCCTCACTTGCTCACTTCTTGATCTTGTTTGTACTGTACTCTTTCTATACCTGCACTTGCTTGTTTACCTTTTTATATATGATCTTGCATGTGAACTGGCCTTGTGGCCTTGCTCTTGTGCTCGGACTGTGTGGTGACTTTGTGATCCACCCTGAGCTTGCTTTGCTTTGCTTTGCTTGACTGGTCTTGTGACCACTTGTTCTCCCCCACTTTGCCTATGGGGGTGTGTTAGAACATTATAGCTTATACATTTGTGTAGGCTGTAGTGGGGTAGCCCATAAGGGGTACAACCCAATTAGGGTTAGTACTTGTACCCAACTGTTTCATAGTTCATTAGCAGTACCCCCAACGGCAGCACCAGCGCGAGCAGAACCTCCACCTCCACCAGCGCAAACTCCAGCACCCTCAGAAGGACTAGCGCCAGCAGCACCGCCAGCGCCAACAACCCCAGCAGCTCCAGCTCCAGCATCACCAACTCCAGTAGGACCGTCAGCTCCAACAGCCTCAGCTGCACCCCAAGACGCACCAGCGCCAGTAGAAACACCAGCGCCAACATCCCCAGCAGCTCCAGCTCCAGCAGTACTAGTACCGCCAGCAGCTCCAGCAGGACCAACTCTAGTAGCCCCAACAGCACCCCCAATCTCAGCAGCACGTCTCCAGCGGCGGGCAAACCACTCGCGCAACTCTTGTGGAAAGAGTGGCTCCCGCCTCGACGAAGCACCACCGGCGGCCTTACGAGTAGACCCAGCGCCCCCAGGCTCGGCACCCCTAGGCGCCGCACCTCCAGGCTCCGCACCCACACGCTCTGCACCCCCAGACCCAGCACCCCCAGGCTCAGCGCCCCCAGACTCAGCACCCCTCAAACTCCGCACCACCAGGCTCAACACCCCCAGTCTCAGCACCCCCAGTCTGAGCACCCCCAGGCTCAGCACCTCTAGCAGCACCAGAGTCAACAGCTACCTCGACAGGCTCGACTGCGTCTACCTGGGACACACCTGACGGGGCAGGACCCTGAGGGGGGAGGGCGTCTACCGGGGGAGGACCTGGTGCAAGGAAGAGCGGCGGCGGGGGGAGAGGCGCAGTAAGGTAAGGGAAGAGACGGTAGTAAGGCACCGACTCGTCAAAGGTGACGTCCTGGTAGGACAAAACACGGCGCTATCCTGTAGGTTTGCTCCACTCACCAAGTTCGTAGAGAACGAGGGGAGGTAGAGACCTAACAGGGTGCCAGAGGGGGCTGCCGAGCACGGTAAGACAGTGGAGAAGCTAGCCAGGATAGTACCCCCAGAGGGGTCTGCCAAGGAGACTGCAACCGGCTGACTGAGTGGCGTAAGAGTGGTGTGGTCTTGAAAGAAGGAGCGGGACGCACCCGAGTCAAGGGTGAAGGTGTGGAAGGTCTGAGCCGACGTAGTACCTGAGAGCGTAGACTCACCAGCACTTGGGTCAGCAGACGCACTGGCACCTGGGGCAGCAGACGCACCGGCACCTGGGGAAGCTGACGCACTAGCACCTAGAGCAGCAGCTTCAATGCTTGGGTCAGGCGGTACACACAGGTAACAGTCACCCTGAACACTAGTAGTCACAGAATACATGGCAGCAAGGATAGCATCATAGTCAAGAACAAAGACGGCAACCCCCGCCCTAGACAGATCTCCCCAGCGAGGGATCTTTGACGCCTCAGGGAACTGGCGACGCCACCCGTCCGTTAGGCGACCGAAGCAGTGCTGGGTGGAGTGCGGGCCTCCGCACTGCTCACCAGCTCGGTCGCCGGTACAGAGGACATAAGTGCAGGACCAAAACCCCCACCGCGCTGACGCGTAGTGTACCACTCACGAAGCTGCTGAGGGGACAGGGTCACACTAGTCCGCTGCTGCTGGCGCGGACCACCACTTGAGCCACTCCTCAGCGCAGAGTCGCAACCCACTCCACAGCCACCGCCGCCTCCGCCGCCTCCTCCACCTCCGCCTCCTCCGCCACCTCCGCCGCCTCCGCTCCCTCCGCCACCACCGCCACCTCCACTGCTGCCGCCGCCGCCGCCACCCCCAGCACCACTCCCACCACCATCCCCACTCCCTCCACTGCCTCCACCACCACCTCCACCGCCCCCGCCAGCTCCTCCAGCGCCCTTGCCCCCCTTGCCCTTGCCGGTGCGGCATCTCCCGCTCGGGGCAGACGCAGCGCCGACCGACTCGAAACCAACGAGGTCGGGCGCAGTAGCAGAGGCAACAGAGGGCAAGAGGGGGGAGGGAGAACACCCCTCAAAGACGGGGGTGCGAGGGTCACCACGAGAGGCTCCTACAGCGACTATACTCTTCTCTGCTGCTAGGAGGGCCTTCTCGAGGAGGTCAACAGTGAGAGTGATGGGGCTAACTGAGAGGAAGTGGTCCCTGACTACGCGGAAAGAGTCAGGGAGCCGGGTGACTATGTAGTAGAGGGTGGTGTACATGGGGGGGGGGGGGGGTCTTGGCGCAGAACTCAGCAGGAAGCGCAGCGCGGTAGCGAGTGTGACTAGTGTGGAGGTGCGTAATGAGAGCAGAAATTGTGGGAAAGGCAGCAAGGTCAGGGAAGAGGTACAGTAGCATGAGGCGGCTCAGTGCAGCAATGGCAGGGGAAGAGTAGCGTGCAACTACAGCGTCGTACAAGGTCTGAGCACTCTTGTACTGGCTAAAGTGTGCACGCTTTGTGGTCGGTTAGTGGCGGCGCACAACAAGGCGAGCAGCAGCATCCCGCGTGGCCCACTGTGAGCGAACAGTGGCGTCAGCATCAGCAGCAGGGGCAGGAGAGGCACGAGAAGTGAGGTCAAACAGGGAGAGACCGTCTGCCCTATCGCACTATAGGAAAAGCTGCATATCATCTACCCAGACCTCAAAGTCAACTGCCCGACCCTCAGCATCAAAGATGAGAACACTAGGGGAGGCCATGACAGCAGTAGACAGGCAGTGAGTACAGTGGGGCAGGGCAATGCAGTGGCAGAGGCACTGCTCTTACCAGGCAAGTGGGGCGGTCTCGGGCAGGCCGACAGGCGGCAGCGCCTCGGCTGCGGTGCGGTTCGGCGGCTCGGCGGCACAGCTGCTGGGCGGTTCGGCGGTCGGGCAACTCGGCGGCTCGGCGGCTCGGCTGCTCGGCGACTGGGCGGCTCGGTTGCTGGGCTGCTCGGGTGCTCGGGCGCTGGGCGGCTGAGCGGCGACGAGGCTGTGGAAGGGCGGCGACGGGGCCGCTGAAAGGGCGGGGACGGGCCGCTGAAAGGGCGTCGACTGGGCCGCGGAAGGGCGGCGACGGGTCCGCTGAAAGGGCGGCGACGGGCCGCTGAAAGGGCGGCGACGGGCCGCTGAAAGGGCGGCGACTAAGCCGCGTAAGGGTGGTGACGGGGCCGCTGAAGGGGCGGGCGGCGACAGGGCCGCTGAAAGGGCGGCGACGGGGCCGCTGAAAGGGCGGCGACAGGGCCTCGGAAGGGCGCGACGGGGCCGCTGGAGGGCGGCGAAACAATGTACAACCACCAATGAAAAAATGCAAGAGATTTCAAAGACGATGTCGAGAAATACCGTAACATGATATGGTTCGTTGTATATAGTATGAAGGAAACGTGCGACGCATGTTAGAATTGTTACGAACAAGAAGTGATTGAACTATGAAAGTTGGAGTACAAGTAGGAAACCCTAACTTTGTGTACCTCCTAAAGGCTAACCCACTATAGCCTACACAATAATAACACATATAGTGTTTGACACACCCCCATAGGCAAAGTGGGGGAGAACAAGGGGTCACAAGACCAGTCAAGAAAGGCAAGCAAGCTCTGGGTGGATCACAACGTCACCACACACTGCGAGCACAAGCAAAGGGCCACAAGGCCAGTTCACATGCAGAAGTATATATAAGTAGTACAGACAGCAAGGGTGATCTCAACCTAGCAGAGCAAACAGGCAGGAGTATATATAGAGATCACAGTACAGGCAAAGCCTACAACAAGTGAGACAAAGTGGGCACTAGCCCCAACAAAGTACAGAAGCGCTGATGATCACCAGGCTGAAGTGCCTTGGTGAAAATATCAGCGGTGTTGGCCTAAGAGGCCACGTACCGCAGACGAAGCTGACCACGCTGCTGAAGCTCACAAGCAAGGAAGTAACGGAGAGCGATGTGCTTCGTTCTGTGCTCCAGTCTATGCTCGTGACAAAAGGCAATGGCAGCCTTGTTGTTGGCATAAAGCACTGGAGGAGAACTAGGCTGCTCTCCAAGGTCGGTCAGCAGGTAGGTGAGCCAGCGTAACTCCTGTGCAGCCATGGCTGTGGCGTAGATCTCAGCCTCACAACTGGAGCTGAGAACCGAAGACGAACGAGTAGAGCGCCACGAAACTGAACCAGAGCCAAGGGTGAAGGTGTAACCCTGTGACGACCGCTAAGTAGCCTGGTCGTCAGCCCAAGAAGCATCTGAGTGCCCGGTGAGAACAACTGAGCTCCCTCCTCCAAGCACGAGCCCCATGCCTGATGTACTGCACAAGTAGCGCAATACCCTCTTTGCAGCATCCCAGTGCACCTTTTGGTGACGACCAAGAGCCACATAGCAAGCCAGAAGGCCAAGAGGGTATGCTAGGTCAGGACGAGTGCAAGTCATCAGGTACATGAGGCAACCAACTAGCTCTACGTAAGGACCACTCAACTCTACAGACTCATCCGAAGGCAGAGCTGAGAGCGAGTGACCTATAGCCAGAGGAGAGGCCTGTGCTGAGGACCAAGTGAAGCCGAAGCGCTGAAGGACCTGCTGCACCATGTGTGACTAAGTCAGGGTAATGGTGCGGCGTGCTCTATCTCGTGTGATCTGAAAGCCAAGTTAGATGCGCAGTTCACCCAGGTCTGTGCACGTGTGTCTCTTCTGCAGCTCCGACTTCACGTGGGCGAGAGACTCAGTGTCGGCTATGGCAAAGACCAAGTCGTTGACGTACACAAGGATGTAGAACGGTGGCAGTGAAGTGTCCGTGCGTAGAAACAACAACGAGTCAGCAGTAGAAGGAGAGAACCGAAGTGCCGCAAGAGTAGTCCTCAGTGTGTCGTGCCACTTACGTGGCGCCTGGCGGAGACCGTAGACCGGCCGGCGGAGGCTGCACTGGGTACTAGGAGGGAACGACCTAGTGAAGCCAGGAGGGCGGCGCAGCCAGATCTCCTCGTGCAGACTGCCCTGCAAGAAAGCTGTGCTGAAGTCAAGAGAGTGAAGCTCGTAGTCGCGCTGAGCAGCAACGTGCAGTAGTACCCGAAGAATGGTCATCTTCGGGGTTGGGGAGAAGGTCTGGAAGAAGTCTACTCCCTCTCGCTGACTGAAGCCTCGAGCAATGTAACGAGCCTTGAAGACAGGCGGAGAACCCGGCGGCCGCTTCACCCTGAAAATCCACATGCCACTGACGATGTTCGCCCCAGGTGGGGGAACCTCGTCGACGTAAGTGCCTGTGGACTTCCAGGAAGCCATCTCTGCGTCCATGGCTGACTGCCACTAAGAGGAGTAGGGACCCTCGATCGCCTCAGCGTACGATCGAGGAGTCGGGATGTCTGGTGCATCCGGGTCTCCCTCAGGGGCAACTAGCATGGACACGAGATGGGGCGCAGCGGCTGCAAGACACTGAAGATCCTCTTGTCTGTCCTCAAGGACGTCCGTGCTAAGAGCACACTCACCCCCGATAGATGGAGGACAGACAGATTCAGACTCAGTGACAAGACTGGCAGCGTAGTCTAGACGACAACGAGCAGCAAAGTCGACAAGCTCAGAAACTAGGGCAACGCGAAGAGAGTCAGACTCAGGGTCAGCAAGAGCAGGAAGAGAGGACTCAGGAGGAGACGGCAGAGGGACACGCTGTGGAGCAGTGGAGGGACGCAGTGACATCCGGTGTGTGCCAGGGACTGGTGGCGGACGCTCACGCGGAGTACGGCGACTGGTGGAAGTAGTACGAACAGGCGAGTCAGGACGGGACACATGCAACACAGGGCGAGACTCAGGCTAACCACGCTCTGTGAGACCGCGTGTAGGACCAGTGTAGGGAGAAGGACGAGGAAGTGGCGAGGCAGGCGGTAGCTGTAACAGCGACTGGACCGGCGGTGGACACTCGACAGAGGGAGGGGGACAAGGCAGAGGTGATTGACCAAGAACCTGCTGAAGGAGTGGAACAAAGTACGGCCGCGGCCGTGAGGTGCCCCCTGCAGCAGCAGAGACAGCACCAGAACCTCCAACAGCTCCAGTAGTACCCCCAGCACCTCCAACGCCCGGGTCTGCAGCACTAGGAGCAGCTCCAATGCCCGGCTGTGCAGCACCAGCAGCAGCTCCAACGCGCGAGTCTGCAGCACCAGTAGCAGCTCCAACGCCCGGGTCAGCAGCACCAGCAGCAGCTCCAACGCCTGGGTCTACAGCACCAGCAGTAGCTCCAATGCCCGGGTCCGCAGCACCAGCACCACCTCCAACTCCTGGGTCCGCAGCACCAGTAGCAGGGTCCGCGACACTAGGAGCGCCACTCTTCAGACTGCAGAGCCGTGCGTACCACTCACGAAGTCGCTGGGGAGAGGGCAGCTCCCGCCTAGGCGAGGAAGCAGGAGCACCAGCTCTAGCAGTACCCCTAGCTCTAGAGGCACCTCTCCTGAGGCTGCAGTACTGTAAGTACCACTCACGTAGCTGCTGTGAGGAGAGAGCTCCTCCAGGCGTAGCACTCCCAGGCTCAGCACCCCCAGACTCAGTACCCCCAGACTCTGCACTCCCAGGCTCAGCACCCCTAGGCTCAGCACCCCCAGACTCTGCACCCCCAGGTTCAGCACCCCCAGTCTCCGCAACCCCAGGCTCCTCACACTCAGGCTCAGCACCCCGAGGAGGACAAGAGTCGAAAGCTACCTCGACAAGCTCAACCAGGTCTACCTGGGACACACCTAAGGGAGCGGCACCCTGAGGGGGGAGGGTGTCTACTGCAGCAGCACCTGGCGTGAGGAAGAGAGGCGGGGGAGGGAGCGGGGCAGTGCGGTAGGGGAAGAGGCGGTAGAAGGGTACCGACTTGTCAAAGGTGACGTCCTGAGAGGCGAGGACACGGCGCGAGGCGGCGTGGTAAAACTGCCAACCAGACGCGTCCAGAACAAAGCCAAGGAAGACACACGGAACAGCGCGGGAGGATAGCTTGCGCGCTGACGTATCGCGAACAAAAGCCCGAGATCCCCAGACCCAGAAACGCGACGCATCGCCAACCTCTCCCATCCAACGCAGTGTCCGGGAAGTCTCTGGCAAGGAGACACGGGGCCAGAGGTTGAGCTGATGCGCAGCGTATCGGACCGCAAACGGCCACAGAAAGTGGGGGGCAGCCGCATGGATCAAGGAGGTACGAGCGACTTCCATGACCAAGCCAATGTGGCGCTTAGTAACCCCATTCTGCTGTGGAGAGGCCGGAAGCGTGAACGACTGGCGGATGCCGTGCTCCGCACAGTAGGCTGC